CTTGCCGTCAACGAAATCAACTCGCCGAGGTATTTTAACTTTCAATGAACCGTATATAGTTCGTCTATGCACAAAGGACCTCGTAATTATATAGAAAATTGGGTGAAATGAATTAGTTTTCACACATAATATAACTTATAATGTGGTGAACAAAAGGTGTCATAAACACAAGGCTTAATAATGAATAATTCTTGAGTTATAGCGTTTCATAGGTCAGCACAAGTTTTACACTTATCCACCATAAAATGCATTATTGACAGTGTCACTGAGAGAAAAAAATAGTCGTGGCAACTATTAACTACAACTCTAAAATTTAAATACTTGCAACTAGTTTTAAAAAGTAATAAGAACTAAATAGTAAAGTAGTACTAAATACTATAAAAATATAATATTCAGTTCTTATTACTTTGTAAAACTAGTTGCAAGTACTTCAATTATTAGAGTCTTAATTTAGTAGGTACCAAAACTATATTTTTCTCCGAGTGTATGACACCTTTTGTTCACACCACATTGCATATGAAAACCAATTCACCGGAACACAGTTTTTCATGTAATCAGTGCAATCTTCTTTTAAGACAAACGCGGATCTTTTGCGACCGAAAGACAGCGAGTACGCTCGAGACACCCCGTATATGTATGTAGGCCGCACACAACGCACGCCACACTTAGTCTCTCTCTCTCTCTCTCTCTTTTTCTCTCTCTCTCTCCCTCTTTCTCACCCCCTGCAGGACTCTCCGTCCCTCTTTCTTCTATCTCCATACACTCGTTCTCCATCACATACTAGAAACGAGGTGTTCAGTGGGAACCGGCTTTCTGTTGTACAACGTATACACGCCGTAGTTCGCAACTGTTACGTACGTGTCTCGCGTGCAGGGTGGTACGAACGAGGGAGAGCGAAAGAGAGAGAGAGAGAGAGGGGGGGGGACTCACCCCGTGAGAAAAGGAAATTCGGAGGCGGGTAGTGTCACGCGGTGGAAATCTTAAAGAAGTGTCCACCATTTTCACTCCATTTCCTACTGATATTCTTTTCTCTTTGCAGAAATCGAACTCGGGGCTTAATTACTGCGGCGCGTGATAAGATAAAAAGCCGTTTTAGAATTGTTCAAGAATTAAGATCTCCGAGGTCGCGGCAGGTTGTTCAGGTGAAAAGATCGGTGGAAGATATCGATAATGGATAAGGCAGATAAATTGTTCAGGTCAACACTCCTCTGGAAACGAAACGCTCTACATCGATTTACGTTGTTTTGACACACATACCTTCATAGATTAAAATCAACGACTATGATTAGCGCTAAATATGGGAACCTGGATCGAAAGCGGCAAAAATAACTGTCACCTACTGTAATATTAACGCGTAATATTGAGAGCGGACCCACATAATTCACATCATGTTTAATTAGACAAACATAAAGTATTACTCGAGATTACTTCAAGAGGTTTTATATACGACGAAGACGCCATTAAAATTCCCGCGAATGATTCTTCGCGTCAAAACGAACACCAAGATCGCGAATAAACGAGCATGACAAGAATGAAAAAAAAAAAAAACCAAAGTCTCTCATTCATTTTCCCGCATTTTCTCGGATCCCTGGTGGTTCTAGAGTCCTAAAAAACCCCAGACATACGACAATTAAGTAATTTCGTCGCCGCCGTGTTAGTTTCTTATGGATATCCAATATGAGTACTGATTAGTTGCCTAAATCACGTGATCACAGCGCCATGTTAGTTCCTTACAATTATAGCTGCTTTCCATTTTCACTCAATACTCAGGCTAAAGTTATGTGAGCATTTTATACTCGGATAATGACATCACTACTTGTTTATATTGGTGACAAAGTTATCGCATAACAATATAAATTTATAACCTCACTTTTAATGTGAGTTAACAAAACTCAATAAAACACACAGGTCTCAAGCTTGTGCAGACTGTCGGTAAAAACTCAGTTGAATCTCACTTGTGAATCTCAGGGTGACAGGGAATATGTATTCAACTGAGTTACATCACAACGAAAATTAATTGAGTTTTGATGTAAATGGAAAGCAACTAATAGCTAATTAGATCATATTCTTTAACAGCCAATCAGGTTACACGTCACATCTCAGACTTTCTAGGCATCTAGGTGGTTCTCGTTAATTCCGTACTTCTCTCTCCTCGCGAAAAGACTCCCTTTGCAGGACGATTCAATCGAATCTTCACGCAAAAAGAATCAAACAGAAAACAAGACTCGATAATGACAACGTCTCGTTTGATTTTCGTTCCTCGTTTCGAGTCTGTGTGGCTCCTCTTCTTGTGTTCTCCTCGTCCCCCCGCCTATACAACTTTGCAAACAGTCTTCCTTCCTCGTCGTCGTCATCGTCGTCCGAAGATGATCGTCGACAGGACGCCAGCACAGAAGATGCCAGCTGGGAGTCTCGAAAGTAGGGAGAAGGAGAGGGCTGCGAGAACACAGCATCTCTCGATTCAATCTCCGTCAGAGAACGGCACTCCTGCTCGTGCGCGAAAATGTAAATGTCTCGATCTAACCAAACGGATAGACAAACGCACCACGAAGGACTTCCGCAAGTCCTTTATCGTTTCCTCGTCTCCGATCGAGGATGCGCTCGTGAAAGAAAGACCGCGCGCCTTGCAGGACGCGAGGATCGTTCCCCGTTCGCGCCGCAGCGTTTCAATCCTAAATCGCAAAATGAGTCGGTCATTGCAAAAAGGATGTGTGTCAATTTTCTCCTCACGAACTAGTGAAATAATAATTTATTAAGGAAATTGAGAATTTTTTAGAAAAATAGAAGGATAGGGATTATATCCCTTTTGTCTGGACAGAAACAATTCGAAACGCGTGTTAAATTGAAGGGTTTTTCACAAAAATAAAAATGAATTTTTATGAAACGAAAAAATTCTAATCCTTAAACTGTTCAGTGTATAAATATGATAATTTTTCTCCGGAGATAAATACAGTTTTAGGCTTTAATTAACATTTCGAGGACTTCTTAAAGAAATAATTAAAAACCCATACCATTAATATTGATAAAGGTAAAGAAGGATTAACTATTTTTTTAATGAAGCAATAATTTTTTCACTTCTTATTCACAAAATTTTACAAATACGTTTGACAAAAATGTTCATGGCAATTGTTAAACTTTTAAATTTCCCGTTTTCTATTTAATTGTTCCTGATGTAACGAGACAGATAGAGTGGCGTCGTAACCTAGATTAAAAAAAAATAGATTTATTCAACTTTTGTTATAGTCTCTAAATAACCAAAGATGCGACATTGAGTCTAAGTTAAGTTACTTCACCGCCGCCATGTTAGTTCCTTATGGATATTAATTAACTGTTAAGCTACATAATCACAACGCCATGTTGGTTTCTCATTACAATAGCCAATCGGATCAGACTCTTTAACAGATTCTTCTACATTGCATTTCTGATTTTCTGGGAAACCCTTTAATTATATTTTGTCGTCAAAGACGTTCGAACTTTTCCGATAAATCCTGCAAAAATGACGTATCTGTCGTAACTAAATATTGGAAGAATCTTTTCATCTTTTTGGCACGCTCCTCCATTCTGTAATGGACGCTCTTTTTGCAAAAAGTCGCGCGAGCGCACGCGGGGAACTCCTCTCACACCCTGTATATTTCGCTGCGATTGAACGCTGGATTTAGTTGGTTTTCCCCTGTTTTTTCGTTTTCTGTTTTACCAGGGACAACAACCTACGACCTCGTATCATGTCCCCGTCCCATGTCCCGCTATTCCCCAACAAAATATATTTTTTTGAGACACTTAAACGCTTGGAATTTGTAGAAATCGACGTGGCAGTATCTTTGACGCAATCGAATTTTTCACTATTTTTCACTATATCGGCTATTTTCCCATCTAGCACGAATTTAAAAGAGCGTACTTTAATAGAAATATGAGACAACATGTTGTGTTTTTCAAGTGGTAACGATAGTAACGAAGTTACAGCAAATTTTTTGGTTTTTTTTTTTGACAGAGGGAAAGAATTAAAATCCTGGTGTGTCTCAAATTTCTGGCGTTACCTGATATATTCCTAACAATCCTAACTTAGCCTTCGACGTGTCAACGTCGGGATGATTGATCGGGTCGGCAAAGATACCGCTACCGTTACTTACATTTTAGTTACTTTAGTTTTACCATAAGTTACGTGAGCCTTAAGTCAGTGTGCGACGCCCCGTTTTATGTTGTATGATTTCTTTCTTGAAGTGTGCTTTTCCGTTTTTGTGATCTTGTCGTTTCTGTTCCGTTGAGCAAAGAAGAGAGGCAGAAGGTAGCGCACAATGTGGGTTCAATCTTAACGAAATAGAGCGCTCGGAAACGATATCGTCACCATCATGAATTTTTTTTTTCAATTCAATCATTACCGTCGTGCTCTCCGTTCGCTGCCTCCGTTCCTTTCCTGGCTCGCACAAAAAAAAAAAAAAAACAACGTATCGCCGTTTCTACAATTCGCGCGTTCGAAGATTCGCGGGTTCAAGAATTCTCCGAATTTTTTGAATTTTTTGAATAACTAGATTTTCGGTTACTTTAGATTCTCGGATTCCCTCGGGTCCTCCAAATCCTCGGATTTGCGTATCATCGGATTTTAGGTTTCCCGGATCTTCGTATTCTCGAGTATATTTGGATTCACGAGGCATTAAATTCTCCAAGTTACCGGGACTCGGAATTTTTAAATTCACACTTTGAGATGCTTTGTTTCAATTGAATCGAATCTTGTTTTATTTACATCGACGGGTGCCCTTTCGTGTCTCTCCCGAGCTTTTAAAGGTCCACAGAGGAACTTGTCCCTTTGACAATTTAATACGTAAACGATCGCCCGGCTTAATCCGAGGTTTGTGAGGGCGCGAGCGAGGGAAGGAACGGGCGGGCACGGAATCAGGAGGGACAAACAGAGAAAGAAATTATAAACGGGCTAATGGTTCGACGATACCAAATAAGACTGATGAGAAGTGTAAACGCAAGGTGTGTGTCTATCGGTTTGGTTTTAGCCCTGAGCAACTGCTCTGAGAGCGGAGGCGAGCCGGACGCCATGCTGGACATGCACCACCCAGGAACCGGGATCGACTCGCACCATCCGCAGTTTCACAACTCCTATGGTAATATGAAATTCATTATAATAGTAATTAATCCTACCCTCGGACTTCACCGACCCTCTTCACGGCGAATCCGAGATATATTACACATCGCGATCCGCGATTCTCGCTCTACTCGCGTTCGGCGCTTCTCAAGTCCTCGCGCGTTTCTCGTGTCACACGTGAGAGGAGAGTGTTTGGAATTTGTGATTGCACGCTAAAATAATTATGGCTGGAAGCTCTATTTTATAGTTGTTAAATGATTATGATAATTATTGTCTACCCAGGAAAATTTATCTGTGGAAAAATGCCATCGTTAATGCGTTCCCAAAGCTTCTTAAAGTTTGTATCAAAGCTAAGGATGGCCATTTTGAATGTTAATTATTATTTTTGATATTAAATAAAATATAATTAACATTCTAAAATCTATTTTTTTGTAAATAATATAATATTTTACTTTGATTTTATAAACGCAATCTTTTATGATCGAACTTTTCGTCGCTCTGTACAAAAAAATATAATAGTTGGTACCGAAAAAGAATACTTTAACTAGAAATTAAAGATGGAGCGCCTAACCACAATCATTTTACCAAGCGAGTATTATAGTCGCAAGTACAAACGCTCTCTTCTCAGTGCAACTTTTTTCACTTGTCCCTCTTTTCTTTTCGGCACCGTGTATTCGACGGTAAACTTCCATCGACGACAATAAAGCAAACAAGTTTCACTTCCGGACCACCGCGAATCTCAACGATGAAGAGACCCGAGAAATGCAAAACTCACATCTGTCCACGTTGAAGAATTATTTTTCTCCCTTCTTCTTTATATTATTATTAATTAAGAAGCAATTATTACATTTTTATTTCTCATTATTATCCGTTATTTTAAAAGCTCACAATTCCATTCGTGAACAAACGTTCGGGCAAATTAATTCGACTTTGCACTCTCAAGATTTCTTGATATTTTTTCGAGTTCGCGAGGTAAAAAACGGAATAATACAAAGCTCCTTCTCTGATCCTTTAATAATTCTCAGATACAAATTGGGTCACGAATTTCCGTCATTGGACCGAGCGAAATTAATAATGACGGCAGCTGTTCGGCATAAGACTTTAAAGAGCTCTCTTGCTCGGCGTATCGAGATTGATAGATTCCATCAATTTGGATGTCGATTTGTGGTTTTTCGTGCATCGCCTTAATAGCGTTACCGTTAAACGTGTTTGCGGGAATACATTATTATGTACAAGAACGTCGGGAAGGCGAGAATATTTCGACGATTTTCTCACGACGTCACTCAAATCATACAATAATATCGGTGAGAATTTTAGCGCTGCTTAAGTTTATTAGTATCTCCACCTCGCACGAACTTTCGCACGGAGATCGTATCCACAGCATTGAATTTCCTAGCACGTGAAATATATACAGCGTATTTCGTGCAATTAAATTAATTATCTGTATCCGACTTACATACCGTCGAATAAAATCGCGAGTCCACGATAACACGACGTCCATCATTCCTCGTTAATTTATCACTTTTATCCTCTCCAAATTTTCCTGCAGCGAACGTTCCGCACGGAAGTCGTCACGGAAAAGTCGTACACTGGGATTACAGTTTTTGGTATTTGTGATTATAATTGCATGACAAATAATTACGGTTAAGAGTTCTATTTTTATAGTTCTTACTGCTCTAACATTCCCTGATAGAAATGCTTGCAGTTTTCCTGACATTCATCCAGTTGCTGTCCGGTATTTTCATTAATTATAAAACTATTGCATAGGAAATGAACAAGAACTTGAGTTTTCCTGATAAAAATATGTGCAATTTGCGTAAACACTTGCCTAGTTATTGTCCAGTATGAAGGGATTATTATTATTATTAGTTAAAATACTGCGTAGTCTATTCTCTTGTTTTTGTTCAATAAATGGGTTAAGACTTTGCGCATCTTTTGTGAGCAGTAATTGCAGGCAAAACGTTACGTCTTGATTGGGATCCTAAGTAGTTTTACTTAATTATTAAATAAATATAACTGTCCAGTAATTGGTCAAGAAATGCATGAAATTTCTACCAGGGATTAGTAATAATATAATTATACTTATAGTTTTACGTACCAAAAAGAATATACGATTGTTTGCGAAAACGACAATAAAACCATAATAGTTTTCAGGGACTATAAAACTATAGTCGTTTTCGGGGAAAACAACTATAAAACTACAGTCGTTTTTATTACCAACATTATAGCAGTAATAACTATAAAAATGAAGCTTCTAATAATTATTTTGTAATGTATTATAATCATAAATACAAAAGACTTTGTTTCAGTATATTCGAGTCAGTAAATCATGGATTTTAATTTGTTTTTTTAATTCGACGATCATGCGACACGGGAAAGAACAGACATTCGTCCAGATTCGATCGGCACCCCGAAACAGATGTCTCGATGGGGCCGATGATTAAATGAAGAACGGCTCCTTATCCAGCGCAATCGAATTAATTAATCGGCCTTCGGTTTTACATCGATCTAATCCGTTCCGGTGGATTGTTGAATAATGCGCGATCCTAATCGAAGTCGACGCGCGCTATTTCGATCCCTCGGCGGCGAACAGACGTGAATTTTGAATAAATTTCAGAAGAAGGCGCATCTCGATTACACGGCACTTCGAACCGAATCGGCTCTCCAGATTAATCGACGCGACTTCCGATGGATTTTTAAACCGATCCCACCGCGATTGAATTTATAGACGTATCTATGGAGCCGGTTCGATATGCATTTCGTGTCCGCGACGTTCCACTTCGACTAATATTTTTATTCATTCGGCTAATCAGAAAGACGTAGAGAGCAATTCGTTCGCTTCCGGAAGTGCACTGCGTCGCGAATATAAAAATGACAGGTGGAAAGAAAATCTGTATGAGTCAACAATCAACGCATACAATTGGAAAATTTACGTTAAATTCGAAACATTTCATTTTGTGTTACATGGTCCGCTCAAATTGTGTCAACTTGTGTCAACTAACACAAGATAAATATATTAAGAAACAGAAAAATTGTCACAAAATTGGGAATCAAAGAAATCGGGAAAGTGTCAGGAAAATCAGAGAAAAGTGAAGAAAAATTTTGCAAAATTTTCTGAAAAATTAAAATTCTTGGCTTTAAAGAAGTTTAATATTTGTACGTCTATACAATTTTAGAATACCAATTTAACAACTAAATACAAGTATCAGCATTCAGCAATATTAATAGTAATTTACATTGTTATGTTAAGTTGCGATCTCAACAAAATATTTGACGGTTTCTAAATCAGGAAAAAATACGAACAATTTCAAAATATTATTGAAGAGAAAAATCATGAAATTTTGTATGGCAATCAGGAAAAAGTTATAAAATTTCAGGATGAGGAATTTGTGACAATCCTGTGAATTTGGTCACTCGTAATATACTGGATTAAATATACATTAAAGGCTGCTTTATATATAAAATATTTAAATGCAATAATAATATAATCATATAATAATTCGACAATCAAATAATTATACGTGTTTATTTTATTAGATAACGTAATAATATCTCATTATTAAGTATTTAATCCTAAAGTAAATTTTTACGCTTTTGCATTTAACTTTGTTGATTTCATGTAGCAGCTTTTAGTATGTAATTTAGTGCAATGCACCGAATTTGCTAAAATATCATTGAAAAAAATCTACGCAAAAAAAAAACGTAACGTTGACACGATTGTAAGCAAACCGTGGAAATATATTTTTTCAATAAAATTAACATTTATGATATGTTAAAAATTGATACGACGTGTTTCATTCGTTTCTTAGAATTTACATTTTAAAATACATTAATTCGGTGTTATTTGTTCACTTAATCATAAATTGTATTATTTCAATATTAAATTGTAAAAAATGTTGAACATGAATTATACAAAATAATATAATCACATATTATTATTAAATTGTTATAATACTCGAATTCGTTAAAAATTCAACACAAAATATTAACAAGGACTTGAGTGGACCGTTTTTATCACAAATACAAATATTTTTTTACTGTGTAATTATCGTCGAATTTACACAAAATTAATAATTCACGCATTATCTGCGTTGACTTACACAGGCTTTCTCTCTAGCTTTTATGATTTTCAGAGCTCTATTCGTTATTAGATAAAAATAATCTTTCGTCAGGGAAATTACACATTCGCAGCCTGTAATCAACAACAATACGCTGCGAATTGTCCGTCACAATAAAAATAAGAATTGCGAAAATTCCGCCTTTTTGACTTCTTATATACTTAAGCCAAGTTCTGCGCTTACGATTTCAGTAAAGGACAGAATCGACTGCGAGATTCTCAAGGATTCCCAAGTTCGCAAGCACGAAAAGCTCGCGGCCGAAAGCCGTCGCAGCTTTATCTTGCGAGGCGCAATGCGAATCAGTTTATATCTGGGGCGGCGCTATATATTATATTATTCAGCCGGGAAGGGTCGCGCGCCCAAGTTGAGCTCTCGCGAGAGCGACTAAGCTCTCGCCGAAGGGCAAATTAAACGCGGCGAGTCGAACTTGCGATCGGTAAACTTTCGAGAAGCGACAAATCCGCCGCAGCGCTCCGGACTTCGGGCTGATTGAACGCGAGATTCTGCGCCGGGAAATTCGAAAATTAAAAAAAAAAGGGGGGGGATCGAAAAGAAAATGACGGGGAGAGAGAGAGAGAGAGAGAGAGAGAGAGGAGCGGAGGGAGAGAAAGATGGAAAGGATCGATGCGTCGTCATCCTTGCGAGTTGCGAACGCGAAATAACGTCGCGGGAGTATCAATCGACGGAGGTAATCTCGCTACTTCGGTGGCTCATTGAAATCCCACGCTAAATTTCAATCTGACGTGTACAAAAGTCGGGCCCTTTCCCTCCCCTGTCGTCAACCCCCTCCCTTCCCCCTTCCCCTCGACCCTCTTCACCCCATCCCGATTCAACGCTTCGAGACTCCGTTATATCGCGGAGACGTATAAGGACTCGAGTTCCAGGCAACAGTCCATTTCCG